TCAGCATAAGTTTGAAGTTATAAAACTATCGCGTAAGCTGAGCTACGCTCAGCATAAGTTTGAAGATATAAAGCTAGAGTGTCAGCTGAGCTACGCTCAGCATAAGTTTGAAGGTATAAAGCTTGACGAATATGCCAAATATGCTTTAAAAGTTTTTTAAAAAAAATTTTCATCCAAAGTTGAATTTTATAAAAATCACAGTCAACTTTTGTTTTAAAAAATTCGTAAGAAAGGAAAGTTTTTTGCCATTTCTGAAGCAACGGCTGTTCCTACCTTGCCCAAAAACAATACAGCTCTTCTATAGAGCAGCACGGATCAAATGTAAAAAACTAGAAGTCTCTACGATGTCTCGTTATTGAGATTTCTTGCTGATTAACTTGCTTGCTTGCTTGCTTGCTTGTTTGCTTACAGAAAGCGTATTTTGCGATTTTCTCAGCAATGCCACAACCAATTTGAAATCTGTTTTTTGAAAATGATGTAAAATTTCAGGCACAAACTTTTCTTCTTGCCCTTTTATAAGCCATTTTGCTTTGTTTTCTCACAAAATGCGAAAAACTGATTTTTCAATCTGAACAAAACCAATAGATTCACACGTGAAAACGGTGTGAATATAAAAAATAATTAAAAGTCACAGTTTAATCTAAATGCGCTTTATAAGTGCACCAATCCAATGTAATCAATTTCACTTAAAGCATCTCGCATGTACACAATAGAAAAGATTCAAGTAAGAATCTGATAAAATTACCAAATAGAAATAGAGTTGAAGACACATTTGCATAGATTCAACGATTGAAGGAACAGCAAAAAGTTTTTCTTTTTCTTTTTCAAGCTTTCCTTTCCGACAGTACACATAATATGATGTTATTTGAGAAGTAGAACATGAGAACAAGTATAAAAGCAAAGTGAAGATAAATGAAATGAATCAGCAATAGAGAAGAATCAACAATAGAAATTGAAGTAGCAAAAAGTTAATACAGAAAAAATTTCCTCTTCCAATTTTCATCTCATGCTACAGCATAAATGCAAAATAAAAGTTTTCAAATATTCATTAAAATGATAAACAAATATTGTGAGGAGAAGAAAGTTTGTGTAGAGTACAAAGAAAATGAAATTAAGGGAAAGTCTCATGAAAAACTTGACTTGTCATGTCTTGTTTTTCTCTTTTTTTTCTTCATTCCAACATGAGAATGTTTTTAAGCATCCCAAGACATGGCAAAAAAGGAAAGTTTTGACTCGTTATTGTATGGATTGAAATAAAAAAAACTTTCTTCATTTTCTCGTTTATATAGTGAACGAATACTTATGAATGTTATAAGGAAGGTTTTTCACTTCTATTTAAAATCTCTTGGGAAATCCTCATTTTTTTTTTACACTCCCCATTTAACGACCTTTATATGTTGTCCCACAGGTCTCACTTGTATCGATGCTCCCACAACTGACCTTAAAAAGTAGTAAAAAATTATCTTTTTCATTCTTATTTCCTTTTTTTACTATATTTTATTTTTCCTATTCTATATTTCAATTGAATTCAGCCTTTTACAATAGTTTGTGGAATGGGAATTGAAGAACTGCTGGTTTTTAATGGGAAATGAAGAAAAAGTTTTGTTGGTTGGTGATTATTATCGGAAATAAAAGATCAGAATGGAAATTCTAGCTGAGGCATTACCTTTTATTTATTAAAAAGAGCGCATAGACTCAAAATATGTATGTTGTCTGATAAATAAGAGTGCTATGTGCTCTTTTTTGTAAAGAAGACCTAATTGCAAAATTTGTTTGACTATGCAAAGTTGTAGATGCCATAACATATCATACTAAGCTAGCCCAATTGGCAATAACAGTCACGTGGCAACCACCGGGTTGCAAACATTTAAATGAATATCAATGTGTGCCGACCGAGTTAGCTTGATTGTATTCGATTGCTCGACTTGTACCCGAAAAGCACAAGTCGGTTAATCGAATAATAATCTGACACTAAGCCGACATGACCTTAACATGGTGTTGGCTTCGATTCAAATCTAGAACCATGCTAGAATCACATGGGTTTGGTGCCCGATTTTAAATCAATTAACCGACTTGTGCCATTCAGGGTATTTTTGTATTTAAAAGTCGAGTCTAATTCTAGCTGTGAATTGCTAGACGATGAAAATTTGGAAACCAAATTTTTAAATTTAAAATGAAAGATCATATGAATTGAACTTTAAAACAGTCTTTGAAAAGCTACTAAATATCCTTAGATAACGATTTTAATAAGCAATAATTTTAATAGGAATTTGCGGAATTGCGGCTTCTCGATGATTAAAAATTCAACTTCCGGTACACGTTAATACTGAAGGCGTGGAAAATATCTTAAATATCTCATTTATCCCAAATATCCCAAAAATATTCAAAATAATCCCTGAGCCTGCATGCATTAAAATTGAGATATCCCATCGAATCCCAAGATTAAATGTCCAATGCACTAAGGATTCCTTAGGATATCTCAATTTTAATGCATGCATGCTCAGGGATTATTTTGGATATTTTTGGGATATTTGGGACAAATGGAATATTTGAGATACTTTCCACGCCTTGTTAATACTTGAATGAAATATTTAATTCTAAAACTACCGCAATAACTTACCTTCAAAAATCAACAATTGTTATTTAATACCGTGAAACTCCTAAAATCTATAGCAAAACAAAGGAAAACCAATAACTTTTGCATCCATATGTCTTCAAATTTTTCATTTCCCATTCAATCTTCTCATTCATTTTCGATGTTTTATAGCAAATTTATTTTTCATATACTGCAGATTGTAATCATAAACAAAATGCTTTTTTTTCTCATACAGAATGTTTTTACATTCAATGGAGTAATTACTCAGGCTATTCATTCAGTCTGTCAAAGAGAGAATGCCTTTATTCACATCATATAAATAAATATCGAAAGTAATCAATGGAAATGAATAATATGAAAGCAGTCAGCTATTCACATATTAAATTCCATCAAGGGCTTAATGTTGGCAGGAGTATTGACTGAAGGTGTTTCCAGCTGATTAGGTGTAAATTAGATATGATTTAGGTTGGAGTTAATTTTCACTTTCTGTAAGAAAACTTTAGTTCCTTTCCATCATGAACTTTAGTATAAAACAAGCTCTTTAAACATGAATTGATGCTTATTATCCATCGATTTTATTATTGATGTATCCCACCCTACGCTTCCAACAACATTCGCCTACGAATTCTTCTGATATAAAGCCCCTGCATTCCATTTGCACATATATGTACGGTGTATTAATAGTCATTATTATGACGATGATAAAAATGTGCGTGATTGAATTTTCGAGTGAAAAATAATTCCTTTTAGTGTGAATGAACTATTTGTTCATTATATGTGCCTTAATTATTATATTAATGCTAATGGAAAGCAGAGAATGGAGAAACTAAGAGTTGAGTTCAAATATGAAAATTCATGAGCATTAAGTTTTTTTTTCGAGTAGGTTTTATGAGTGACGTGACATAGTAAAGAGTCTTGATTGGATGGGAAAATGGAAACATGTGACGACTTTTTTGGTGTTTCCTTACTAAAATCTCCCCCTTTTTTGTTTTTGCTAAAATTATTTCCGAACACTAAATGGAATATTTTATAAGCTACTTAAAGTTTATTTATAAATCAAAAAAGTTTGAATGTGTTAGGCTATGGACTGCTTAATTTTATTTATTTATGATAAAAAGGAAAGTTTGTTTCCTTAGAAGTTACAAGGAATATGGATCGATAGCTAAAAATGAAGGATATTTTTGTGTTCTGTTGTTATCAATTATTGACAATCACAAGGGAATATGAATAATGAGCAGTTCAAGTCCCAAAAGAAATACCTTTTTGCTTTATCTATTTTTCATAAAACAGGACAGAATGATATTCTTAATTAGGAATGAAATTTTTCATAATTCTCAAACTTCTGACTGAATAGTTGAAGTAAACTTGTCATTTTGTTGAATAATATATGCTTGAGAAAGCTGCTCGTCTGTTTAGATGTCATAAGAATATTTTTGGAATTTTCGAACAATTTTTCTCGTTATATTTTTATTTTAATTATTTATTGTATCTTTATTAAAAGTTCAGAAGGATGAAAAGGTTAAAATATGAAGCTGAAGCAAATGGAAAAGGTGTTTTTTTGGTGAATATTCTTTGTCATTTAGTAATTTCTAAATGATGCCGTATAGGCCAAACTAGTATTACGTTGATTAATCAATGTTCTCTGTTGCACTAAAGTGGATCCTTATAATAAACCTGAGAACCTTCAGCCCTTGCTTCACTCATTCTTGCTGCTTCTCATGATATTTTGAAACAAGGCCAGTAAAATATCTTCAAAATTTACGATTTAATTATTTTGGATCATACACAAACTTTAGAATTTATGATACAATTTATCAACTTAATACCAATCATTCCTTATTGTTTATCTAGTTGCTACAATCCATCTATGACCTCATTAAAAGTTTTAATTGGAAGTAAACTTATAATAAATAGCCATTGAAGCATTATTAACACAACAAATTAGTTACACCTGAAGGATCAAGCTATGTTTTTCCGTGCTAATCAACCATACATTTGCATCATGTAATACATCATCTTTTTATGACACTGAAGATGAATAAACTCTAGGATAATGATATGATGTAAAGAACAAAAAAGAATGTGAATTAATGTCGGTCATATTTTATCATGATTATTTTTCATGTTTCATTCTCATGAGAATTGATGCTCATCACGATCATCAATTAATTTGAGTACCTTGATAAAAAAAACAATAGATGAGCAACAAAAAGAATGGAGGAAAATGAGAGCAGCCTAAGTGAAAAATTGTGTTAATAGAAGAAGATGGAAATTGCTTTTGATGGTGCTTGCCATTGTTGTTTTAAAAGTTTTCTGTCTAACGAGGCTTAGTTTTTAAAGGGATTTTGAACTTAAGACTAGACGATTAAAAAGATTATTTTAAGGATTTAAAAAAATTCAAGGTATTTTTATTGGATTAACTTATTGATTTCTTAAAGGTGAATAATGTAAATTTTAAAGACGTGTCTTTTTAAGCTCAGTCTTGGTGTCACACTTTTTTGAACATGATGACAAAAATAATATTTCGATGTTTTGAATTAATCACTACAATTAAGGCTCCAATTAAATCCTAAAGAATCTCACTTTAATGGCCAAAAAATTGCAATCAGCCAATTGTCAATTGCCAATTGCCAAACAAAAAACAGCCTAAAGAAAAGCTAAATTCATGATGACTAGCTTGATTCAAACTTATTTATGGGCTGGCTACTAGAACAGCCAGGATCATTTAGTCATGTTTGAAAATCAAACCCGAATGCCCAAAGTAAGTTAATCGATCAGAAATCAATCACCAAGCCGGTGTGACGCTGGCATACTGCTCGATTTAAATCAAAGCCAGAACCATGGCAAAGTCATGCCAGATTTTTTTCTTCGATTAACCGACTTGTGCTATTCGGGAAAGCTATATCAAAACATTGAAAAATAATGTTCAGCACACAAAACTACAATAAATAAACTCCAATCAATGAACTCAAACATACTAAATCCAAAACTCTACACTATTTAATCCTCACACTTGGAAATGAAAAAACTTTCAAGTTGCACAGTTTATTGAAAATAAAAAGCGGAACGTTCGATTCACAATTTTTCGATAATTTTCTGAAGAATCTTTTTCAACAAATCAGCATCAATTCCTTCCTCTAAATTTTCCACCGCATAATCCAAGATGTCTTCGAGAATCTCTTCAATTACCACATGTCTCGTACTAACGCCATTCAGACGTGATAATCGTATTGAAATTTCAGTAATGCATTCATTCTCACCAATGTCTTCTGGAACTCGCAGTGTGATAATAATCATTTTGAATATTTCTGTTAGGAGATGCTGCAGATATGAATTAGATGATATTGCAGTCTGATTTGCTGACTCAATTGTATTATTGATAATCTCACGAAGAATTTCAATGTGATTCTCGTCTACGTCCTCATTAATATTCTTCAAAATTTGCGCAATGAATGATGAAATCTTATTTTCATTCAGAATTTCAGCACTCGATGGTAAGAATGATTTGAATCTTTCAATTACTCTCGATAACATCTCGTCTGACACATCTGATGATGAATTGAATTCAAGTGTCATTTGGTGAACGTATTTTGAAATTTTCATTGCAATATTCTCAACGTCACGATCATTACAAGATGCAAATTTAAAGTTTTCAGATAAAAACTTCTTCACAGCTTTTAATATTTCAATGAAAACTTCATCAGGTGACGATGCACGAGTCGACGACATAATTGATTCATCGACATTTGAACAAATTGAATCCTCAAATGGACGACATTCACCATGCAATTGACGTATACTATAATCGAGCGTATCATATTCCTGACGTGCATCAACAAATGATTTAGTCTTTAAGCTCAAGGCACGGATTTCTCTTTGGAGCATCTAGACGAGTGGGTGGGAATAATGGTAATAGGAACAACAAGAGAATGGAAAGAGATGAGATTATGACAATATTTTAGTGTATATATGGACAAAATATGATTAATGGATTGCTATCATCATAATGTCATACCTCAATTTGCTCCTTCTGATGATAGCTAATTTCCTTCAATTTATCTAAATCACTTCCAATTTCTTCACGTTGCTGTTGCTGGTGTAAAAGTGTCGACATTTCCTTCTTCTTTGTTTGCATCGAAATTATTTTGTTCAGGAAGTTTCGTTCCTCTTCTAGAACTGTAAGGATGTTAAGCTTCTCTGTTGCTCCTTGCAGAACACGACTCAGTTCCTTCTGTTTATCGATTCGGATTCTCTGGAAAAATTATTATTTAAAAAGGAATGAAATGGAATAAAGCCTAATTTGTCAGCATTTCCAAGTATTTATACTTAATATGTTATGGATAGTAACTTTCAAAACTTTTTAATTTTTGGTCTTCGAGTCATAAAGCTTCATTTTCGAAATCATTCAATCGTACTCAATATTTCAAAATCATACATCTTCAAGCTATTTTTGTTTTTCCTGATAATTCACAAGATTACCTAGCAGATTGCTTTCAATTTTATTAGATTCATATCCTGAGGTATTAATAAGATATTTTAATATTGCGAAGTTCAGAAAGTATTTCAACAACTCAACATCCTACATACAAACCAAACTTATTTACTAATGGACTTCAATTATATGAGCCTCAATAAAATACTCAGAAATAGAAGGCAAATAATGTTTATAATTTAACCTTGAAATGTTTGATGTATGAATGAATGAATGCAAACTCATTGTATAGACACTTAATTAATGGATGGAAATTTTTCATTTCGATGATTAAACAAGTCTTCTGTTCAATAATTAATAAAGTTTTGACGACATTTTCCATTATAATTTTTGAATGAAATTATGTAGGTTAAGGACATTCAAATTTCTTTTTAGTCAAAGACGTAGTAAACAAACCTGATTCAAACTAAATTGACAACAACACAAACCTTCAATTCATTAATTTTGCTAAAGTACTGCTTCTTTATGTCCTCAGCATTAGAGCGGATTTCAATTTGCATTTCAAACGCAAATCGTCTCAAAATTGTCTCTTCAACCTCATTCAAATCAATGACACGACCGAATTTCTTCAACATTGCTTGATTCACGCTATCTTTCAAATCAACAATTTGCTTCTCCATTAGTTGAATGTCTGTTTTCATTTTGGCAAGATGAACAACATTTATTCGATGACTTCGCTTTGCTTCAATTGTCTCATCTGCCAATTTGTTAACACGCGAATAAAGTCGCATGACATTTTGTTTATTGAACAGTAAAGTGTTATCAATATCAATAAACTCTTCAGGATTTTTAAAGTACTGCATTTGATCCATTTTAAGCATGACAATCGTATCAACATCGTTGAGTAATGTCTGCTTGTGATGACGCAAACTTGACAGTTTCGATCTGTACTTTTCGTAATCAGCTTTCGACTTTTCTAGCTTCTGATTCAATGTTTCATAATCCATTAGAATTGCTTCGAGATCTTTTTGTTTTCCATTAATAATTCGTTCATGCTCATGTCGTTCACGGCGCATTTTGAATGTTAGATCGTACAGTTTACGTTCACATCCCTTAGGACATATACTTTCATCTAGTTTTTTCATTTTAACATCCTTGGATAATGTTGAAATCGTGGACGATGAAGAGGATGTTGATAATGCTGACGATGTTTGTGATTCAGCGGAATTGTCCTCTGTCTCATCATTCTCATGATGATCTACTTCAGTGAGATGTCGACTAAAAATTTTTCGCAAGAATGCCGCGAATTTGTTGTCTACAAGATGTGATTTAAATCTTATCTCTATCTTTTTACATAAATCTTGTAAGTCTTCAATCATTCTCTTCTGAATCTCAACCTCGGCATTTAAATTTGAAAGACGAAGAGACAATTGTTTAACTTCCGTTCCTTTTCTTTCAACGTCATCCATCAATATTTCTTCCATTGGCTCAAAATCTTTCAATATCATCAGCTCTTGATTGAGCGTGAGAAGAAAAATTTCCTTAAATTTTGCTTTCACTTCCACATCATAGCGCTCTTCAGACAATTGAGCAATTTCCTCATCGAATTCAACAATCCGGGCATTGATTTTATTGATAATTTTCTTCTGCTCAAATATCCGACGGCGTGTACGTAAATTCATGAGTTCATTTTCCCAATCACTGAGTTCTGTTGCTTTTCCGTCAACACTGACGCTATCGAGTTTCTTTAAAAGCTTTAAACTTATTTTATCAGACACTTGATATCCAAATTTTGTCTGTACGTCAACCGATGGACATGGTTGAAGAACATTTCGTTGCAATTCAATGAGATTCTTTTCAGCAATTTGAAATGGCGTAAGTGTTGCTGTACGACAACTCGCTGATTCCATTAATTCTGTAACATATGTCTCGGGTGTTAAATATTTACGTAAATCTAAATTACGTTCGGGAAATTCTCGATCGAAGTTAAATGTTACGGAAATGTCTGGCGTTACTCGTTGACTCTCTGGAATTTCTAAATGAATTTCTGAAAGCTTTGACATTTTACGCTGCACATAGTGATATAGTTCCTTCTTTTTCTCTCGCATATTAAAGATTTTTGTATTATAGTTGTTTTTGATATTAAATGCATCCTCTCGCGTCTTTACAATCTCTTGAAGCTTTGACACAACTGTTTCACGCTGTTCATCTGATGCCTCAAAATCAGCATCTGATTTAAGTTTATAATCTCCTATAGTTCGTTTTGCCTCATCCATCATTTTAATATCGCTTGGATGATCCATGTCGGGATTAGGATGTTCTGTATGAACGGTCTCCCATTCTTTCTTACGAGCCAGTTCCTTTGCCTTTCTTTCACGATATTTGTTGAGAAGACGACGCATTTTGCTTTCCAATTTAGCATCAAGATTTGATACATTAAGACCAATTAAGAAGGGCTCAATTGTCGGGATTGCTGATTCAGTATCTAGTGTTCTTATACTTGCTTCTATTGTGTCAAGCATTCTATTGTGGATGAATAGGAGACAAAATCTTAATTAGACACACAAACTTATAATTGATGAATTTGGATGGGATGTTAAATGGTTATCAAACCTAATAAGGAATTTAAGTGTTATAAAATTGTGCCAGGTTCGTTCACAAATGATAAAAATGACTATCTAATTATCTGCAATAATTGCAGTATGCCATTATTGAACAGTCCGTTGAAGAGATTATTGTGAAAAATCTGTCAACCTTATTCATACTTACTTGGATCTTTGTTTTAGATTCATGGTATTAATAAATTTATGTACATACTACATATATGTGATGGGATCATACAAAATAATTCATAAAAATAAGATTAAATATCTTGAATAAGATGTAAAGTAAGGCGTGGACACTCTGGATTAATCCTGAAAAATCACAAAAATCCTTAAAAAATCCCTCAGCCAATAAACGTGGAAATATAAAATCCCTTTTAAATCCCGAAATTATTCATCAAATGCATGTCCACGTTTATTGGCTCAGGGATTTTTTTTACGATTTTTGGGATTTTTCAGGATTAATCCTGAGTTTCCACGCCTTGATGTAAAGCTAACAACTCAACCAAAAGATAATTTCAAAAGGATCAAAAGATACAGCATCAAAACTCAATATTGCTACAAGTTTATATTAAAAAATTTAAATTAGATTTTTGAACTACCTTTCTGAATAACTATCCTCTACATAGTCCTCATATACCCTTTAGAAAATGAGCATTAACATAAAATACAGAGATTAATTTTTGGAAACTTTTTGAATTTATATCAGCAGCCTTTAGTTGGCCCACAAAAATTCTTACCTTTTTTTCTTTAAGGCAGCCTCAAGTTTCTCCTCAACTTCTTCTTTCAAATTGTAAAATTCCTTTCCAAGTTTCTTAATGCGAAAAGAAAACACAGACAATCCATTCTTAATACCTATAACTTCAATAGGATAAATGATTGGCTCTATGAAATGTTCCATAAGCTTCTTTCCAGCAAGTTTTGCCTTTTCAAAATCGAATTCCTTTTGTCGTCTTACGATGTCCATTTGAATGTCTAGCTTTTGCTGAAGGTCATCGATAATGCGATCATCTAGAGCTAAATCAGCTGGGGTTAGTCTTTGAGACTCCGGTAGTTGTGAATTTCTGTTGGAATATGAAAAATCTTCTTAGTTACAAACATTAGGTATGGTCATTAAATCTGTTCTGATGAGAAAAAAAGGAACAGAGAAAGTTTGATGGAAAAAATGTTAAACTTACTTCATCATAATCTCTTCGAATTCCTTTCTCAACTTGGCAATAGTTGCTAAAACTTTATCCTTCTTGTCAGCTGAATATTTCAGTTGTTGTTCTTCATTCTCTTGTTCTTTTTGCTGTTCTAATGATAAATGTTTTGGATCGTCAATATCACGGACAATTGCAACAAGTTTGGGTATTGGTGTCGGTTGACTAGGTTGAACATAAGTTACTGGCAGATTCCAATTGTATGCAAATAAATTTCCATCAGTGCCAATTGAGAAGAGAAATTTATTGTCGTAGCTGAAGCGAAGTGCCGGAATACTGCCAAAAAAATTATCATGCATGCTGAGGACCCAATAATTAGATAAATCACGCCAGTTTCCATTTGACATTCGATTGATGCGTATTTTTCCGTTGCTCATGCCAAAAATACAATATTCGTCGCGATGGATGAACGAATAAATTGCGTCATTTTCTGCTGATGGAATTTTTGTATACGAAAGCAATTCGCCACTTTCCTTACAATATTCGTACACATAGCCTGCATCGTATCCATCAAGTGATAACCAAAATGTTCCATCCTTTGTATATTGTATCCATAAAATTTTATTAGGCGGATCGGGAATGTGAATTGCTTTAAGCGTTTCCTCATCATCTGATTCAGCAAGAAATTCCTCTTCATTGATTTTTTCATCTGGCGATTCTCTTTTTATTCTTTCCAGTTCTTTCAATTTCAATCGACGCTTTTGCTCCTTTTTCGATTCGAGCTCTTTAATTTGCTCATTTCTTTTTATTGATGATTTTATGGATTTGAATTTAAAGCGTTTAACTGGAACGTTTGCAAGGTAGTAGCTATTACGTTCGTACGCTTGTGGTTGTTCAGGTATATCAACTTCAATAAAATCACCATATCTGCAGCCAAATACACCGGTTGACCATCGGTGTGAATCCCAATTTATGCATGTAACGGGTGAATCGACACGAATAAAACCAATTGGCAATAATGTTGGGAATGGTTTAGATCGTGCAATTTGATGTACAAATATTGTTAAGTCATCGGATGCACTAACAAGAATTGTTTGTTTTGGATTCATTGAAATTTTTGTTATTGAATTACAATGGCATTTTATTACTTGAATAAATTGAATTTCCAGTTCCTTATCGTTGAATGAAACGATACGCAGCACGCCATCGGCAAAACCAATAACAAGGATCGATGCGGTTGGATCAACTGAAACTGGCAGCCAAATCATATCACAACCTGGAGCCAAAAATTGATGGTGGAATATCAAGTTCTTCTCTAAATAATTATAAATGTAAATTCGACCATCATCGCCTAAAGTACATATCAGGCTTGCCACAGAACTGGTATCACAAGCCACAATTTCCCCCGCATGACAACGAAACAACTGCCGTGGAAATAGCGGGCGCTTGATTGTTGATAAATCGCACCACCACAAACCACCATTACCATCTTGTGCATACCATATTGCTGATTCGTTATTTTCATCCTCTGATTTTACAACTTTCAGTAGCTGTGCACTATAACTGCCCGTGCCGATACGAAATTCATGACTTGGCTCTATTTCTACGACTCGATCATCTTCTGCTGGGTCGGATAATTCTACCGTTTCCCAATACCATATACGAATGAATCCATCACTTCCAACAGTCATAACTTCTTCATTATTATACATAAAAATTTGTGTTATTGGACCATTATGACATGGTCGACGATTCTTTCTGCAAACTTCCATTTTTACAAGACCACCTTCCCATACCAAAACATTACCCCACTCACATCCAGATAGAATTTTTTCATCTGGCAATGGACACATGCCGTAAATGTCACAAATTTCTGTTTTCCCAAAACGTCCAATCAATCCTTGCAATTTTAATCCGGTGAAAGTTTGTGACATTTTCCAAAACTTTATTTTAGGTTTGAGGTATATAAAAAAAAAATAAGAAAAGAAAGGAAAATGAGAAATGGTGAAGGTCAATGAAGGAATAAAAATGTTTGTTGTCCAATGAACGCGATTTTCTCTTTGAAATTTGATTATTGTCAATCAAAGTTTCTATTCAAACTTTATGTACAGCTTTTATAATGGATTCTAAATTAGGCATTGTGTCACTAGCCTTAAAATGTTGCAGTAAGTAATTGTAAGCATATGCTTGTATGTTGGGTTTTAATCTCTTGAATACCAAAGTTTTCTCCTTAGAATTTCTTATTAAAGAATTTTTCAAAAACCTTTTCCAAAAACAGGAACGATAATCTTTTTAAACTAAGTCTATCGAAAATCGCGTTAGGATCAAAAAATATTTTTTATTCACAAAATAAGAGAGAAAAATCCGCATTAACAAAGAAAACCAGTCAATCAAAAAGAAAAATAAAGGAAAGGAAAGAATCAACAAACGAATAGTACCTTTATGTGTCCCAATCCACATGTCGTGAGCTGTTCAGGGATGTAAGGTGAAAACATCAAATTGACAACATCGTTACTGAATGACTTTGTTCGCAATTTAATTTCTCCTCGTTTCCAATCCCATATTGTGAGCATGAAATCGGGTGAGCCACCTTGAGATGCTAAAAGTTCACCATCTGCTGTGTAATCAACCATTGAGTATTGAAGTTTTGTTCCTTTCAACAACGTTGATTGAATTTCCATTTCGGGATATTTATAAATGAAAATTGTTGGTCTATTTCCATTCTCTGCTACTGTCAATAATTGCTTATAGACTGGATTTTTAGATATGCAACCGATGCCACCACCGCATGCAGAACGTCTCACATGAACTGTTTTAGACTCGATGTCGAAAAAGTGAATCAAATTTCCTGATGCAAATACTAACGTTTTGGAATCAATCAAGACGAGGTTATACATTTTCTTACAATCATACCCGAACGAATGGCTGTGCAGAATAAAGTTTGTTTAAGGAAATTGAGTAAGCAATAAGAGTTGAGTTGATAGCAAAAAGAACAAGAAATAGCGCATTGCTTCAATTTATGTCAACTAGTCATTGTGCTTAGTGGCTTTTAATCAAATTGAATAAATGATAAATGACTGGATTAATACTGACATTCACATGGGTTCTTGACTTGACTATAAATTGAAGGATGAAGCACATAAAATTTTAAAATTCAAGGTCAATAAAGTTCAAGTTAAAAAATCAATATTGGATGTCATGACAACAAAGTTAATGATAAGCATGAAGCACCCAAACTATCAAGCTACACCTACACACATTATCATTAAATTTGCATCAAGTATAAAACCATCGACTCACTCAAGCGAGATTATATTTTCATCGATGGTTGATTGAGAGCTAAGTTCGGGTTTTGAAATCAAAATCACTGCTTCCTCCTCTTTATGGACAGATGTCGTCGGTTCAGATGTTTCCTCGTCAAAATCATCTTCCCTTATCATTGCTTATTACTTGTTTTTTATATATTTTAATAAGGAACTTTTTGTGTGGATGATAAAATCACAAAAAATTAAGCAAAACTTTTTCCTTTTCACAACCGCAAAAGTTTTAAAAACACAGAACTAGAAGTGACTGACTTGAAAAAAATATTCAACGCCAGGAATAAAAAATTGTTTGAAAACAAAACAGAAAATCAACACAAGTCGATGGTTTCCATGATAACGTAACTATAAGGGGATTATTCGTATGTTTTGTAACACAAAAAATGATCATTTTTGAACAGAAATCAGAATCATAAAATTTTAAAATAAAACTTAATAAATCTTGGACCTTATTCCTAAGAACCCAACATCCTAAACGCTACTTAATATACGAACAATCACTAAGACGAAATAAAAATGAGGGAATGAAAAAAGGGTAAAACTTTCGTTGAGACTTTCTCATCATCTCAGCTCTTATCTCGTTCAAGTCTTTAATTATTGAAATGTCTATGAATAACTTTACTCAACTTCTCTCATTTTTTCCTCTTGATGGCTCTTGTCACATCTTTTTTATTTAACTGAAAGAATATGCGGGGATTTTTTTTACTTCTTCTTCTTTTTAATTATTAAAATTTCCTTTCCGATAAGAAAAACTTTTGCGTTCAAACTTTTTTCACTTTTTTTCCTTCTCTCTACTTCATTTCCTGTTTTATAATTAATGAAGTTTGATTGACAAAATGAGATTGAAGGAAAAAATTGTATTGATAGGCACGATGGACTTATAAAATATTGATCAGGCATTGGGGGTGGTTAAGAAAATTTCTTAAATGAGAATGACAGGAGATTATGGGAAATGACTTGAGCACTGACTAGTTGGGGTATGAGCGATCATTTGTTTGAAGAGTTTTACTTTATTGTTTAAAAAAAACTAGGTTCATATAATTTTTTTTTTATCTAGATCCAAGCAATTTATCATTATCATCAGTGGCATAGTGGTTTGGTTAGACAACGACTCTCGTTTGATCCCAAAGATTGGTTTGGGGTGCTCTACTCTGTTCAAGTCATCGTAACTCGAATTGATTCGTGATGTGCAAATTGTGGCTGTACCGATATACCTTGGATCATGTTACTGCGCAGAGTTGTGGGAAAGACAAAATAAGTCTTATCATTTGGAATGTCAAGGCATCAACATACGTTGTTCATCATAACAACATTTAAGCTCATTCAGGATAAAAAAGCTACTGTTTTTCTCTAGCTACGTTCCTGTGACTTAACAGAACGAGGAAAACAATAATGAAATGTTTACGGATGTGATGTCTACACCATTATGTGTGGCTACATAGTCCAATAATGTCTGCTAATTATTATAAGAATCTCCCTGAAACATGCATTTGTGTAATAAATTAATAAAATTTATGATTATTTTTACAAAAATTATAGTCTCAACTGCTATTGTTATTTTAATTATAATTTTTCATGCTCTCATGATTAAGTTTCATAATTTCATTCATAAATATGTGATTCTTCTTAAAAATTAAACAAAAGGCTTACTTAGAATTTTCTGTTTCTTCAAGCTCCTGGATGTGATTTAAACATGCAAAAAAATTAATTTTGTTTTCACGGAAAAATTGGAAATTACTTTTTCAGCGTTGCTTAACATTTTATAAATACCTGGAAAAAGTTTTACAAGCTGAATTGAACACAAATTAATTAGCTACCTAAAATTGTTTCCATACGAGACTTTTCTAAGAGCTTATCTTAGTTTAAATAACGCCAGAAACTTTAATGTATTATCAGAAAGTCAAAAATATCTGCTAAAGACACATCAGTAAAGATTACAATAAGTTTAATTTTAAAATGGAAATTAATAACTTTCCAGAAGAACTCCTCGTCATGATTTTTGAATACGTAAGTGATACAGATCTTTGCAATCTAGCATTAGTTTGTAAAAACTTCAACAATGCCGTCAACAACAGCAGTAGTCTCGTCCACAAGTTTAAAGTTACGTTGAACCACCGAAGAGCTGAATCGAGATGGATCGGAAGTAGAAAGTATGTAACCTTTAAAATTACTGGCTGCAATAAAAAGGAATTTGAGAGATATGTAGGAGTATTTTCAAAGTATGGAGAACATGTGAAATATTTGACATTAGAAAGCAATTCATTCAACTTAGGAAGCTTAAAAGTTCTATTTGTCTTGTGTCCTAACATCCAACGAGTATTTTTACGTCATAATAATATTGACCAAACTACTGATTATCCATTTGTGCTGCGATATCTTTATGCAATTGATTATGAAGGTGAATCGTTGCCAATAGAAAAGTTCAAAATGAGCAGCTACATATCGATTCTTATTTTGTCAGGAAATCAAAATTATCCTGAAGCTCAAACTGAAAGATTTTTGGCCATGCAAAGAAGATTAACAAAACTGAGACTCATTGACTTCAACAGCAATGCCTTTTTCTTTGCTAGTCCACATTTTCATGATGCAATTCAGTTTAAATTGGAATGTTTATCATTAGTCAACGTGTCACTTCCTGAAAATCCAAGATTGTTCCGTTTCTTCTTGAATCATCATAAGGATACCTTAAATTATTTGGAAATTGGAAATCTTTCTTATGATATTTTGGAATATTTTACAAACTTCAAGAAACTCAAGACAATCAAATTCACATCCATTTTCGAACGAGAATTCATGTTCATTCATAACTTGAGCGACACTCCAATGAATCAAGTTGAAAATTTAATCATTGACTGTCAAAATATTATCAACATTGCTACTAAATTCCCGAATCTCATCAACCTTGAGATATATAGAGTGAAAATCAATCCAGGAGAAATTATGCAATTACAACACCTTCAAAGCCTGACAATCACCGAATCAAAAAATATCTCAAGTCTTACAAATTTGAATGCTCGTAAAATCAAATTTGAATCGTGTCATTTTACAGGCACAAAAATTCTCACAACCAATCGACGATTCATTCAAAAGTTGTCAATCATAAACTGCAAGAATGTCAAGTGGCTGAGTGATTTCATGGACTATGAATATTTGAATTTGAAGCGTTTTGAAATAACTGGAACAATGATGAGCAAAAAATTGCATGGCAAAATTATGAAAATAGAAAGGAAAATCGAAAAATGTATCGTTCCGTCAAATCAGGTGATGAGTGATTTCCAAGCTTTCAAGCAATCGATGCAAACTTGTTTAGAGTGTTTTATGAACTTTATAACTTGCCTTTGCGTGCCTGAATTTTAAATACATATTATTTATTAATATAGAATGACAATGTTGTACACATGACGAGGAACTATGAAATTCTGATTATCCTTTAATGCTTAATTAGTATTTTATATTGTAAAATTTGTATGAAATGAAAATAAAATTTTTTTAAAAAAATTTCAGCATTTATTCTTAATTTAATGATTATTTTTTTTGAACTTAGCATTGAAATTGTAGCGCAGCAAAGGAGTGTAAAATTTTCTGATCCAGATTTGTATCAGACGATTGCATATCAATTATTAAGAGAGCTCGACTTAAAAATTTCATTGATTTCGAGCTCTGACTATTAAACAAGGGCTAGTAACTGCTTAGTTTCATTTTAATCAATTTTGATCATTTTTGACCATTTTATCAGTTCCGTACCCTTGTTTTTAAATAGGATACAGCTGTATACAGGTCTGGGGAATAATTAGTAATAATAAATTAAATATTGAATTAAAGAAATATTTGCTTCAATATTCTAAATTACCATGAATCAATTGAATCAACAATTTAAATTAAATTCTATCAAAATTCTATGTTTTTTGTTTCCTTAGTGATTATGACTTGATTGTTATGCATAAACATCTTAATGGGATCATAAAATTTTGTCTAGATAATTCTGATTTTGTCATTATTAGTAATAAAAATTTATAAATTGTTTCAACAGAATAGAATCATGCTAATGATAATACTTCTAATGATGATAATCCTATAGATACAAATCGGAAAGGATAGTTTTGAAAATCAATGAAGACGTGCAGTTCTCATGAATAATTTATAGAAAATTTCATCAACTCTAGACAATTTTCAATAACAATCGACATCTTCCTTATCATGTTGATGATTTTCAATGTATTGAATATAATAGAATGGGACGGTTATCATACGCTCGTGCTGTTTTACTTTCATTTGAAACGTTTTTGTCTTAACTTCCATAATAATCTCCTTTATCTATTAATTTATTATATTGACCTCATTAATACTGATTAATCTACATATCTTATGTGAATAAACGAAATTTTCTGGCAACAATATCTTCCTTTTAATTGAGTTACAAACTTGCTTTGTGATAATTAATGAAATGGAAGTAGGACAGCATAATTATCTACAATTAAGCAAATAAAGAGAGTAATTTAAACTATTCTAAATATTCAATGAATTTGACGTTTTTGAAGTGCAGAGCTGGAACAAGATGCATTAAAAAAGTTATTCGATTCGTAATTTCATAATTTTGTGATGCTGTTTTCGTCAAATTTGTATGTACATGTCAAGAATGTTTGCCAAAAGCTATTAATCCCTTCAATCGGATTGACATAGAAAATATTTTAATAGCATCAAACCAAAATCTCATTTGAAAACAAACAACATAATACCAAATGCTGACCCATCTTGCTTGATTTCAAATATTGTCATATCCCTTTGTCCTTTTGTAGCCCGAAAAAAAAACATTGATGTTGATCTTTGATATAAAAAAAGAGTTCTGCAGAACAAAAATTGTTATAATGAAGCGTTCAATTTTAAATTAAGGACTTCTTATCGTGAAACTCTTATTTTTTCACATAATAACATTAAAGACATAATCAATTGTGCTACATGCAATATCATGAAACTATTTACAATTAGGCTCAATGCCAAGATAATTGTCTTATATGAATATTCTCGTCTTCTTTTAAGTATAATTGGAGGCAATTTTCAATCAATTTTGATGAGGTTTTGAACACTGAGATAGAATTTATATAAAATGGCATTAAATATTGATATCGTCTTGATAGGGATATAAAATAAAATTGCTTGAAAATAGTTTGAAAGGAGACAGTGTCGAATAAGGTCAAAGTTTATAGACATTTTAAGTTTTCTCATGTGAATCTGTGTTGGTATGTACTTATGATGTTTTTCTGTCGATTATAAAGTTCTATAGCTTTGTGTTCATATCACAGGTGATCAATACAATTTTTCTTTTTGGCTGGCTTTCAAATGACGTTTGTAGGTAAAGATCAAATCATCCTTAGAACTTTCTAGAGCCAATATTTGTGAGTAAAGATCAAATCATCCTTAAAACTTTCTAGAGTCTAATTAAAAATCCTAAATCATTTTATTATGAAATGCCTCATTATCAACGTCATTAATGTACAACCTTATACATCTGGTAATTTTTTCCAACCTACTAATCATCACTCCTGTCATCATATGCCTCAGTTGAAGTGTACTCGACATACAGACATCCCCATTCATAAATTTATCTCTCATAATCACTTAATTGCACTTTTATTAGGAACTTTTTCATATATTCTTTCAACCTAAATACTTCAAATATGAATGCTTATATGTGATGGAGGTAAAATTATGCTTATAAAAATAAATGAGAGTGATTAGCATTTTTTTTCTCCTCATCTATTTATTTTAATTAATGAGCTTTGCGTGCTTTCTATTATGAATAATATAAATATATGTATAGGGACTATATTAAAGTGTGAACATTCTCTCAGTTGGCATGCAGTGTGAATTAATGCAAGATTTATTCTATACATTTTCTGGATCACTGGCACATTGTGTATGCATGTCTAAAGGTTTAATTATTTTTTTGAAACAAAAAAATCAAAGCCAAACTCAATTTTCTCGAAGTCGAATAAACGAAAAGCTTTAAAAGAAGCTCGTAATTTTTGGAGATTTATTATAAGTACTTTCGTGAAGTCTTACCAAACATCCTAAAATGCGTAATTCTATGTGAGCAATAAAAAGTTTCATACTTTCTAGGTTATTGTCCCAATAGGATAACCATAAAGATTCCCTTTTTGTTAGAACAACACGATACCTCAATATTAAGTTTTTATCCAAAACAATAATTTGAGATCATCTCAACATGTACGCATCACTTGCTTATGTTTAAGCATACATAATACAATAAATTGAGTATAACATTCTCTTTATGTGAGGAGTCAACTTCAATCTCTTGTCTCATTTATAAGACGTAAATCACTCACTTAAGTTACATGTAACTTTCATTTTTATATATACACATATGTGAAGAAGTTGTTGAACAAGATACAGTAAAGCACTTAAGGGAAAATTCACAGACTCAAGCGAAGGTAAAAAGAATAAATGTAAAATAAAGGATTTCGTGCGTAAAAAATTCACTTTATGAGCTTTATGTTAAGATGAAAAATTGAACGAGAAAATACTTTTGAGATTTTTTTTTATTTCATTTCCAATGAAAGGAAGTATAAATTTGATTTTGAAAGAAAATTAAAGAAGCTTCTTAATGCTGAGAGAGTTAAAAGATATTCGTGGAAATTTTTTAATTAATTATATCATGTTACTTCCCCTTTTAACTTGCTGATAAAAACATGAATTTCTAATTTTTCAAACTTCAAACTAACAGGAAATCTTAATTAAGAGGAACTTTGATGAACTTTTCTTTTGCTGTGCCTTGCGTTCATGAATTTTTAATGAAAACAAATTGAATCTTTTTGTACAATTTCGTATGTTGATGCTTCTAAAATTAGGTTACACAAGTAATTTTCATGTGAACATAATCCTTACAGCCATGTATATCCTTAAAGCAAATAATCAAGGAATTATGTGAATTGAATTTCTTAAAAAATTATACTGAAGGGATTTAAAGAATTAAATTTTTATCAAGAAACATTTTAATTTCACATGAGAATTTTTCAAAGAAATTTTCTTTTTGAGGTTCCTACAGCTATTAAGCTTTATTAAATTCATTTCCTTTTAAATTTTATTATTTATATGCGATATGATCGCATGTCACATCAAGAGTTTCAATGGAAATTAATGAATTCTACAGATTCAAGCTTGATCGGCACACATTGAAATGGTCGGGTTGATAGTGTTTTTAAAATCTTGTGGCAACCACTTTGCGTTCAGTTGGAAATGGCTTTAAAACGGCTGCAGCTTGGTTCTAGTTATACTATCAACCCAGGCCACACCAGGCAGTGGCAAACATTTCAATTTATGTCGATCGAGAAATTAATTTATTATTGTAAAGAGTTTAAGGTTAAAACTCATTTTCCTTAATTTTTGATCTCCTTAAATGCTTGATGATTAATTTTAAGAAATCCTACAAGAGTCAATCTCAACCTTTCAATTATTTTCAGTCTGATGTGACACACACGTTTTCAATTATATCCCAATAAAATTCTATGTAGTATAAAAAATCAATTTATCGATTTGTAGGTGCTTGAGAAAGTCAATTTATGCCGAGAATAGATTTAATCTTCCAACAATACTTGAGTTTCATCTCAAAAAATAATCATAACGAGATTGAATAAGTAGAAGAAGGATGAAAACAGCAAAAGAAAATTTGATCAATAAATTACATTGATGATATAACAAAAAAAAGACTGTTTTTGTGTCATGCCGTCGTCGTCATAAGCAAGAATGTCAGAATAAAATAACAGTTTGCTAGACGAGAACAGAGAAAAACATAAAAAGTGATTTGTGGTGTGTCAATTTGAACATATTTGCGATTTTTGTCATAAAAATTGCAAAGTCATTTGACATATGACATGATATTCGTTCACTTACTCTCCTGCTCTCTCTATCTCTCTATTTCGTTTTCATAGAAATTCAATTCATCTAATGCCATGTGCAGAAGTTTTTAGAATTCATATCAACTTGCTAATGTCATCATGATATGGCAGATTAAACCCCTCTCTTCTCACTACATACTAGTTGGGTGTATATGCTGTGTATTATAAATGAACATTTATTTTTTGTTACCAAATTAACTTCTAGTTTTCCTTTCATTTCAACTCTTCTTCTACATGACTTATATTGAATGTATGTGAGCTCGCACACAAAAATGCGGGTTAAACTGTTTTCTGGCTCATTTTAAAAAATAAAAAAATTTTATGTTGACTCATCAGCGACGAACTAAAATGGTTTATTTTTCCCAAATACAATAAATATTCATATAGGGATCAGGCAGAAAGTGGAAGGTTGTCAGAAATTAATCTAATTTATTACATGCAATGTAACCAATTTTCATAATAAAATGTTTCACGATGTTTCGTCTATGAAAGTACTTTCATTATGGAAATTGCGTAAATGGATAGAAATGTAGTCATTTCGAAGTCATAATTTACAAGATTTTTAACGAATTTTTCTTTCCATAC